ATGATGTATTTGCATCCAACTTTTACAATCTCATGTACTTTTATTTAAAGTCGAAATGCGACAGGGCTAAATATTTTTCCATAACAACAAATTTGGAAGCAAAATATTGAAAAAAAAAAAATTGTTACTAAAGTTACAGAGAGTCAGGTAGAAGAATTGCTGTCAAAACAGAGGATTAACGCCCGTGAAGCTGGATTGTGTTCTTCTATGGGTTGGTTTCCAGCTTATGGCTTGTGGCCATAGCTGGTGTAAGTCGCAAATGGTCCCATGAGAAGTAGTCGGTGGGATTGGACGATAAGGATAAAGATCCTTCTACTCTCACTACTCAAATTTGAAAGGTTGCAAGAGAAACACACCCCAATTTGGGACAGGATGTTAACCATTAAAAGCTGGGAGGGGGCTTCAGGAATAATAACTCCCATTGTTTTGTTTGTCAAATATTCCGTTCCTGAAAAGGGGAGGGGAAAAAGAGAACCTTCCTTTTCATCAAACAGCTAAATGGACACCATGAAGAGTTGCGTGGGTAGACGATGAAACCCAAAGATATAAGATAATTTTAGTATATTCCTACATAAAATTTTGGTCAAGGAAATCCTTGATTTTGCACATGACTTGGATTCCATTTGTCGGGTTAATTTAATTGGGTAACAGCTTAAAGACCTATGAGATCTAATTCTGCATTTCCATTTTGTAAGACTTTCTTAGAATCAATGGGAAGCAAAACAAAGCAAGACATGGGTTCTGCAAAGGGTATGTAATTTTTTGCGATTAAGTCAATCACTGTTAATAATTTAAATTTAAATTTTTAAAAATTACTTAAAAAATTATTAATTAATAATATTTAGATTCGAATAATTACATTTAATATGGAACAAAGTATCTACAATTCAACTCTTTTGTTTTGTTTTTTTTTTTTAATTTTTAATTAATAATCATATATCTTAATGATAATTATCAACAACAAAGAATTTACTTATAAATGTACATATAAACAACAAGGCTATTTCTTACTAGAAAGGAATCTCTCTCTCTTAGAACAAAAGAAATTCTTAACATGGATAGTGGTGTAACACAATAAGTATATTTTGCTTTAGAGAAAAAGAAAGAGTAAAACTTCAACACGAATTGGCTTCGAATATGCCATGAAATATACCAGGAACATGCCTTCATGAAAAAGGTACCCTTTCCTTCTCCTTTTTGTACTCTTTCTTTGTGATTTAAGGATTATAAGCATTTTTTTAAGAAAATAACCTAGAGCTTATTCCTCCCCTAGCCTTTGAATATTATTTTGAAAAAAATAAAATAAAATATTTGCAAATACTTAAATCAAATTATTTTATATTAAATACTTTTCCTTTTGCAAGAAAAAGTAAAACCCGACAAAGTTTATACTGGCATCAAATTGGCCTTATGGGGCGCCCACCGAACACCCAAGCATTCATGCATTCACTCAATTGGTTCAATTGATTAGATGGCCTAGAATTAATTGACAAATTATGCATGCATGATGTCGACAATTGTGACGATATTGACCACTCCATTGTCATAATTTTAACATTAAAATAAATTTATTATTTCGAATCATTTTTTATAATTAATTTATAAAATTTTATCCTTTATAAATAAATGTAATTTTCAAAAATAAATATTTATTTTTACATATTTATGAGATGAGATGACGCTGGTCTGTCTAATACGGTTCCTAATCTCGAACATCAGCCTTCATTTAAGATTAGCCTTAATTTGTTACTTTGGACATCTAATCATCATTAATTTATTCTGTTTTAAAAGGAGAAGGAATCTTGTGGGAAATTGCAGACGTGCAAGGCATAGACAAGAAGCCAATAATGATTCACAGTGGGAAGGGGCGTGATTGCAAAGTCTCCAAAAATTAAAGGAGAGGAATCCTGGAAAAGTACGTGCAAGGTATGTAATAGATAATACTGAAAATTTGAGGTCCCTGAAATGAAATTTCCTCCCTATTTATTTTCCCGAATTTTACCCGTTGCTGTTCGAAACCTTTCTTTGCAAACTGCTTATCTCAGCTTGCACCAAACCAGGAACGCGATCCCTCCAAATCGTTTCTCTCTATCTCCTTGCCCGAGCAAAACAGAAAAGAAGAAAGGAAAAGAGAGCTATCTAACTATGTCTTCACCAAGCAAACGCCGGGAGATGGACTTGATGAAACTGTTAATCCTCTAATTAAGCTTTGAAATTATCTTCTACTTCTTCTTCTTTGTTGAACGGGGGAGGGGTTTATATTGACTTTTAAATTGGTTTGTTTTTACTAGGATGATGAGTGATTATAAGGTGGAGATGATCAATGATAGCATGCAAGAGTTCTATGTACATTTCAGTGGACCCAATGAAAGTAAATTTTCACTAACCCGATTTCTTTCTTTGTTTCATTTCCATACTTAAGTTGTTTTTATAGGAAATTATTGGAGTTTCTCTTTTGGGAGAATTGCTTTTGTTTTCTGGGTCTTGATAAGCTTTGACTGTTCTTCCCTTCCGACCCTCTTTTATTTAGCTAGTCTTAGTGGTTTTGATTAAAAGGATTATAATTTTAAATTCTATGGCTTTTTGAAACTGCGTTTTAGCTTTGATTCCTTCATTTATTTACTTATTTTAGATATCCCTTTAATGATTTGTTGAAATATATTTGCCACATGGTTTCTTTTTAAAGTTGTACTTAATGGCCTTACCAATTTTAATGCTATACTGGAAATGGGTCTTCTGTTTTGGGTCAAAAACAGACCTTTTTTGGCCTTATTTTGTATATAATTGACTATGGCAGGTCCGTATCATGGAGGTGTATGGAGGATAAGAGTGGAGTTACCAGATGCTTATCCGTATAAATCTCCTTCCATAGGCTTTGTTACTAAGATTTACCATCCAAATGTGGATGAGATGTGAGTTAAAAAAGAAAGTTATGACTATTTAATTTTCTATATTTGTGTAGTTCACTGTATTCATCTGCTTGAAGAGGAAATCATGTACAATTTCAGGTCAGGGTCAGTTTGTTTGGACGTTATTAATCAGACTTGGAGCCCCATGTTTGGTAAGGATACTTATCATGCTTTCTGGATGCAACTCTGAACTACTTTATGATAATAGAATTTTTAGCTTCAAATCTCGGTGTTTTGCAGACCTGGTAAATGTGTTCGAAGTATTCCTTCCACAGTTGCTTCTGTATCCCAACCCGTCAGACCCATTGAATGGAGAGGCTGCAGCTCTGATGATGCGTGACCGAGGTGCTTATGAACAAAGAGTCAAAGGTATTAACATTTTCCCCTAGGTATTTTTTTTAATACCAAAATTAAGAGGGATTGTTAATTGTGGCATTGCTTATTTGAATACCATGTTTCTCGAGCATATGCTTATAATAAATCTTGACTGTCTTATAACATAACTGCTGCCCAGGTGACACTTTGGTAAGAACTTTACATGGCATGTTAAAAGATAGGTGAAAACGTTTTCAGAATTTATGACATCTAGAGTTTGTTTTATTTTCTGGTGGCTGATCCTGAAACAAGATTTACTCTATGTACCTGTTGGATTGAGTGAACGATTTTGCCTTTTAAGATTACTGCTAGAGTGTTGCTTATCTAATGACTGTAACTAAGGTTATCTTGCTTATCTTGATTTTATTTCAGTAAGGAAAATGTAAAATATGACATTAAAATCCTTAAAAACTCATGTTTATGTAGGTTTAACTAGGATGTCCCGGATATTGAGTCTCATTTGAGTATAACTGAGGTGCGCTTGTGATGAACAATAGAAAGTATTCCTACTGTTGCTGGATGAGTGGGTCCAAGTTGAGAGCTATGGACTGCTCTGCTATAAATAGGGAAAATGCTAGTAGTATTATCTCACGGATGATTTATTTAGTCTTTTTAAGTGTCTTGTTTAGTTTGTCGTAGTCTCAAAATTTTTGTATCACATGTAGATGATTGCCAATTCTGTTAAGCATAAGCCTAGAAGTTTTGACAGGTTTTTGACCCTGTAGTAGCTGAAAAAAAAAAAGGATCATGTTGCCCCGAACATTTAACCCGGTATCTTGTTTCTTTCTTTCTTCTTTTTCTTCCACATTTTGGAATGATATCATTGTTTTATGATGCACCTCTATGCCCCAATTACCAGGAAGAGATTCAGATACTCCATTTAGGCATTTTATTATATTTGAGCCAATATGATTTTACTGTCTCTGACATCGGTTCATCACCTAGAATACTGTGAGAAATATGCCAAGCCAGAAGACATAGGAGCTGCCCTGGAGGAAAAATCCAGTGATGAGGAACTGAGCGAAGAAGATTATGATTCAAGTGACGATGCAGTGGCCGGCCAACCAGATCCATAGTGTCTATCCTTAACCTTTAAAACTATTTGTATCAATCTGTACATGATGCTTCTGATTCTGTTAAGCCAAATCTCAAGTCAAGGTAGACTTGTCTTAAGGATGTGGAGATATTTTTCTCATCCTCCATTAGTTTCTGCTGTCACTGTAAATAAATGTACAATTGTCTTCATATGAAAACTACCTGTAAAGTATTTGTCTTGTGTCTTGCAAGAAATTCGTGCAGTGAAACACCCAAAGGCATTGTGACAGAGATAGGTCTGTCTAACAAAGATTTAAGTTTATGTTAGATTACCTAGTACATTATTCTTTACCTAGGAAGTCTTTGGGCTCATTTGACTTAAATATAGATACCATTTCGGGCACGCTATGGATTGATTACAGGTTGCTTTGTTTTATGGTTTAGATCTCTGCTGCTCTGCCCTTGATCCGTGGCTAACCCTTACTTCAGCGTTTCTTTCTCTTACCAAGAACCATACTTGGAATGGACAGCAAAGATGAAATCAGTCCTCAATTTTCCCGGTTCAAAGACTACTAGGCTTACATTCCACTGGCTTGAGTAGCAAGCCAAGGCTTATATTCCACTAGCTATTGTACTAAAAAATGTGGAATCTAGTCATTGCTCCAATGGCAAGATGCACTCTTTTTTTGTTTGGATGATATCCTGAGTATTAAAATGAAGGAAGCATATATTCTTTACAAAAGTCTCAGCTATCAAATAATAGATAATAATACCCGCCAGGAGCAGATATGAAAACTATTGCATTGAAACCATGGAAAGACCGGTATACAATGCGGGATCAAGGAACCTAAGCTACATTAATGGTATGATCTATTGCAATTGCACAGGCCATGAAGAGCCACAAAATACACTCCACACTTGTACTCAATGGCAACAAATTTTTTCATCATGCGATACACTACCCGCTATAAAGTCATAGATGGCTTGGCCTCCTTTTACCTGCGTCTGTTCTCAGCTTCTTCACAGGATTGGCCCAACCAACACTCCCACCACCACCATTCGCCGGATGAGCAGGCTGGTTGGGCCAACCTTGCTGATGGGTGGTCTGCTGGGCCAGTCTTGAATCCTTAGAGATTGATCCTGCTGCTGGACTCCTGATGTTGCGACCCATGCTTGGTGGTGAAACAGGGCCAGCTGATCCAGTCCTAGGCTTCACCATAGACTTTTCCCTGTCTTTCCTCTTCTTCTTGCAAATAACCAGCTCCCCTGGATGAGTTAGGAGAGAATCATCCTGTTGATATTGCTCCCTGGTCATGCCACTTCCACTCCCAAGCCTAGATTCCTTCTGGGGCACATGCACTCTAGCCCTTGCATCATCACCAGCATGAATAGAACTACGTTGCAATGACTTTTGAGCCAGGCCTGAATCTGGTTCCACGTCGTTTATTGGCTTTTGTCTCTTGCCAACAGCTACCTGTCTAGGGGATGGAGTGGAAGTCGAGGTAGATACTGGGTTAGCGAAAGACACAGCACTTCTGGCTTCGCGGAAATCTGTTTCTGGGAATGCAATCTTCAACAAGTCGAAAAACAGATCATGTACTTTTCTTGCTTCAGATCTGACCTGTGAATTCAATTACATTTCCAGGGTAAGTAGACAGATCAGGACATTCATGAGAACATTACAGAACTATATATTGGAGTTCAATTGGTCGGAAGGAAATTGGGACATTTGCTAGTTGATAAAACTTTCTAGGCATTGACGCAAATACAAATAGGTTAACTTCTTTGTAAAGCTTTCAAAGTATTTGCTTCCAGAAAGACTATCCACATAAAAAATAAAAAAAGTGATGCAAAGATGAATTAGAGTATGAAATGTAAAGATAAGGTCTAGTTAAAAGAAATCCACATGAAAAAAAAAAAGTGATGCAAAGATGAATTAGAGTATGAAAATATAAAGATACAGAAGGTCTAGTTAAAAGAGAAATTATACCTCATGTGAAAACCCATAAAAATGCATTGCACTTTTTAACACTAACTGCACATCTGACACAAGCTCCATAACTCCACTATACTCTAGTCTGTCAACACGCTGATCAATCTTCCGTAAATCCAAATGATTACTTCCACTTCCACCCATGTAACCAGAGTTTTCAATCCTCTTCCACAAATCTGTTAAAAGTGGTACAATTTGTTGACCTTCCTTGTCTATTCTCCTCTGAAGCTTGCTAATCACATTTTTGCACTGCAAATGAGATTTTCTAGTCAATCACTAAATTCACAAATAGCATGAGATAACATGTCATACATGAGCAATTAAATAAGGCATAACATTAAAAGTGAAAACTACTCATTTCTTTAAGGTAAGTCATTTTCATACACAAAGTTTCCAATTTAAACATATCCAGCCATGCAAAACATTGATGACTTCAAGACTAAATAACACTAAGACCAATTGTAACGGACATTGCAAAGCAAACAACCAGGTAGAACCAAGATATTATAGAACACAAAAAATCTGCTAAATCTTGTAAAAAATGTCATCATGCATAAAATAGACACTCACTCATCCAAATGTCTATCCTAGCAAGACCAAAACCATATTTATCGATGAGAGACCAGAATGGAAATATACAAACATGTATAATAGTATGCTGCAGTCTTAGATGTGAAAAAAAAGGACCCAAAAGGAGGAGGTAAAGAGATTCAAGAGGCTCAAAGCTATGGTGAGAGCCAGCTATAAGCAACACCATCAAGCAATTCAAAATACCAAAGCAAGATTGGCAATTCCAACTTATCAATAGTGACCAGGACAAAATTCTGTGACAGTTAAAATAGTAATGGTAAAAAAGAGGCAATATCAGGCAGCATTTACCGATTCACAATCCAAACACCAGAAGAATTAGTCACTTCAACCATACCTTTCTTTGGATGACATCAGACATCTTAGCACCAAAATCGGAATACCCACTTGTATTAACCAGTTTACTGTCCCAACTCTCTCTGGAGGGTTCACCAGCATCTTCTGCAGGAGCAGAAATGGAATTCATTCTACCAGACTTTGGTGATGCATGCAACTTCGATGTATTAGCTATCTTTCTTGAAGGTAAGTTCCTCCTGCTTTTTGAAGATGAATCATTTGGATCATGCTTGACAGCATTGCGGTCACAGGTTGGTTTTGTTTCAGGATCAGTCCTTTGTTGTGATTGGTATTTTTGGTCCAGCTGAAAAGGCAACAAAGATGAATCTCCACGTTGGAGATGAGGCACTTCATTGACAGATTTCTCCTCTGCCCTTTCCACAGTATGACGAGGTCGAACCCGAATGCTACGCTTTCGTTTTATCTTGGGTTGGACAACTTGTTCATCTTCACCTTCATCCCGCTCATGAACCCAACTTTCAGATTGCCGGTGGTCCATATGAGAATCTCCAGATACTGCAATCTCACCTTCCTCTAGTTCATCTGGCTGCCAAAATTATAATAGTAACATGAGAAAATAGCAGAAATTGATAGATGCCATAGTTAAACTTCATTGCAGGAAAAGAGACATACCAGCCTTCTTGCAACAGAACCAGGCCTAGCATCTAATGCAGAGAGAGAGCCAAATTTCTGAGGAGAAATAGGAGACACCATCTGTGTTGGTCTTCGACTGTCCAGAGATGATCCTGAAGAACCACCTTCTTCAAGTATGTGAGTATTTCTAATGTTTTCTGAAGTTTGGGCATACTCATAACCACCATCACAAAGTGGGCCATCTTCTTCCGACTGATCCTTATTTGTAGGTGGTGCCCCAACAGCACCACTAAATTCATCATCTTCAAATTCTCCAATTTCTCCCTCTTCCTCATTCCCAGAGTAACCATTTCTCTCATCAGAACTTCCTTCAGAGTATTCCCCATTCTCATCATCTATTTCCTTATAATTAGGATGCTTTTTCCCCTTGGGTCGCCCCCTTTTTCTCTCAGTCTCCACTTCATTGGATTCAGCACCCACACCAGCAGTATATAAAATGTTCTTTGATGGCTTTTTTGACAAAGTAGCAACAGCAGCGTTCACTTCTCTTGTACTAGCTCGAAGCCACTTAGGTACCTGTTCATGACTAGTCATCTCTTCAGTCCAATCCAGTTCTTCATCCATCTGATCAAACAACTCAACTTCTTCCTCACTTCTTGCTATCATGCGATTTACCTGGTGCAAGGAGGGAACATCATGAACAGTTTCTTGATACCTCTCTTCATCATGCAGTAATGTTTCTAAAGTCATGCGTCTCTCTTCATGTGTTGTTCTCTGGTCAAAACGTCCAGCATTAATAACTTCATCAGCCATGTCAATTTTATACTGTTGAATGTTATTCCTTATGAGGCCCTCAATAGATCCCATATACCGATCCTTACCTGCAAAATCATCCTCAAAATCAACTGTACCTCCACTCCTTAGTTCATCCTCCTTCTGATGACTAGAGATTTTGTCAACAACTGCCTCCATGTAAATGACTTTGACTTCCCTTGTTTGTCCAATTCGATGAGCTCTAGCAACTGCCTGTTCCTCATTTTTAGGGTTTGGATCAGGATCATATATGACAACAGTATCAGCAGATTGAAGATTTAGACCACGCCCAGCTGCACGAATACTAAGTAAGAATATAAAGCAGTCAGAGTCAGGGCTATTGAAATCAACAATAGCTGATTCACGCTCTTCCAAGCTAGTTGTTCCATCAATACGTCTGTAAACAAGCCTCCTCCACTGCAAGTATTCCTCCAAGATATCCAGGAGCTTTGTCATGGTACTAAAGAGCAATACACGATGCCCTGTTTTCTGTAGTTTTATGAGTATTCTGTCTAAGATCCACAATTTCCCACAAGATCTTACAAGGAAATCTTTAGAGAAGTCATTGTAATATGGGTAATTGAGCAAAGGATGATTGCATGTCTTGCGAAGCTCCATACACCGATTATTTAAAGTTTTGTACACCTTAGCCTGGTATATTGGATTTTTTTGAACCCTGCGCTTCTCATCTTCAGGATCAACTCGAAGAGTCCCAGTTGATTTTATCCAATCATAAATGGCACTCTGAATAGCTGACATTCTGCATCTTAAAACTATTGAGACCTGCAATCGGCCATTGCAAAAATATCATTAGAAACAGCATTACGATAAGTGATAACCAAAGCAGGACAGCTATTACAGCGTACCTTTGGAGGAAGTGAACCTTCCACATCTTCAACACGACGTCTAAGCATAAAAGGCTCTAGAATTTGATGAAGCCGGTGGATGATGATAACCTTCTTTTCAGTCTCAAGCCAATCATCCTCTGCATTATGCGTAGGGCCTTCCTTTTGAAATGGCTGTGAAAACCAATCATGAAATGCCTTGCGATTGTCAAAAACTTCAGGAAGGAGAAGATTTAACAGTGACCAGAGTTCTTTCAAGTCATTCTGTGGCATACAAAAATACCCATTCAACTCATCAATAAGTAATACATATATAATAAACTTAATATGTGTGTGCATGTGTGTGTGTGTGTATATATATATATATATGTAGATGAGATTGAGCCTGAGGAAAGAAAAAGGTAAATAGGCATCTTATTTCATTGCCTCAATTGAGCAACACTGTGAGATATAAACAAAAGCATGGCAAAAAGTCCTGTTAATGAATAATGGTCGTACCATTACAAGTAGAAGTCAGTCACGACAGTAAAGCAAAGTTGTCCAAGGTTTCAAATCCGTATCATAAATAATGTATGTGTGCATATTTGTTTCAATTTCCAATCATATCAGAGAGCTGGCTTAACAGACCTGTAATGGTGTCCCAGTGAGAAGTAAACGCCTTTGGCAGTGGTACCTATCAAGATCACGAGCTAAAACAGATTCCCTGTCTTTCATTCGCTGTGCTTCATCAATTATGATGTACTTCCAATCAATTTTGGAAAGCTTTGACCGATCGTACATAATGAATTCATAAGTTGTCACAAGGACATTAAATTTCATTGCCAAAACCTCCTACGCACCATGAAAACCAAAAGAAAATTTAGCAAATTTTGACACTAAAAAAACAAGTAAATACAAAAACTTATAGTTCTTACTTGAGAAAACAATTTTGAACGTTGATCTTTTCCACCAACATAATAGATGCATGACACAGATGGCAGCCAATTATGCAACTCACTCTGCAAAAAGGACTAGTTAGTTCTGTTCAAAGATACTGGAAAAATGTCATAACCATCAATATAAAGCAAAAACAAAACTAACCTTCCAATTTACCAGAACAGCATTTGGAACAATTATAAGATGTGGACCATAGTTTCCTTTGAATTCCATCAAATAAGCAATCAATGCCATAACCTGCACAATAAGGTAAAAGGTTAACAACAGCCCTACCGTATCATATGATTATCTACCCAAAAATATAATGCTCTGACTTATTCCAACACCTTGTCTAACTCCCAAATAACATATGAAACTGCTGTGTTACTCGCAATTTATTTATTTATTTAAAAAAAAAACACAAACAAAACACTACCTGAACAGTCTTCCCAAGACCCATCTCATCAGCCAAGATACCATTGAGTTTATTGTTATACAAAGAAAGCATCCACTGCAAACCAACCTGCCAAATAAAATACACAGACGTCATAAAAAATTTAACTTAGTATAATAAATAAAAGTACATTAAAAGGAAAAAAGGAAAAAGGTAGGGAATAAACCCAATATTTTAAATATAGCAACCTACAAGCTGATAGTCTCGTAAAGTTCCAGCTCGTAGCATTGATGGTTGCCTTATGACCCTCTCGTTCACAGCATGAGCAAGATTATAATACCTGTTGACCACCACAAGAAATGACAAATAACTTGCCATAAATTTGGTGCCTTCTGAGAGAATTATCCTTAGATTAAATGAAAACATAAATTATAAATGCAAATTCATTATGTGAGATTATAGTTATTGAACTAAAGAACATCAGAAAAGTCACCACATAAGCCCACCTAACTGTCACAAAATATACACCCCATCCCACTCATGTTTCATCATGAAGCATGAAACTGTTATCATTAAGTGCAAGAACATAAAATGAAAACATGTAATCAAAAACACAACTTACTTGCTAACTGATGAACTATCCCTGGGTGCATTCATTTCCATAAACCGATTTCTTATCATCACTTCCTCTCCAGCACAAGCTGCTGCTACCCTAACTTCTTCTTCTGATAGACCCTTTTGTCAAGAAGTAGAAAATAGGGAAATAAG